TGAATCTAATATGATTATCAAAATTAAATAACTTAGATCTTAAATCTAGTGTAATTTGATTTTATGATAATAGTTATAATTTTAAGAATTAAAAAACAAAAGCAAACAACATTTATTAGAAGCAATTTTAAAATTTAATTATTTTATTTAATATTTTATTTAAAATATTAAAATTATAATATATTATAAATTGAATTCAAATCTATTTATAAATATATTTCAATTTAACAGGTAATTTAATTTCAAACATATACAAAATTAAATATACATTGCAATTCATATACATCTCTCAACAAATCAAATCTCTAAACAAATTACAAAATCATGTATCGCAATTAAATGAATATACATGATAATTTTTTTTTAAATCAAGATATATGTAACAACACCTAATTTCCATCCATCCAAATAATTAAACATGTAAGATTTTCAGATATCATCACTGCAACCTCTTACTTCTGTTTTATTACATTCGAATAGTTGTAATCATGATATATTGATTATGATGACTAAAAATATAAATACTAAATTCTCCGACATTATAAATTTATCACATTTATTCATTTTAAAAATAACTATTTCTTTTTCAAAGATCCGATCTAGATATGCTCCTGAGACAAATCTCTTCTTCTTAATTAAGGCACGCTAGATTGATACATTCAAAACAAGTTCTTCATATTCCAACTATCATCCTCAAGAAATTCATAGTAAGAAAATATTATATTATTTAAAAAAATAAAAAGAAAAAGACATTTTTACCCTGTGAATTTGTCATTGAGAAGTCACTAGCTTGACAATATTTTATCAAAACTATTCATTTAATCCCTATTTCATAAAAAAAAAAAAAGAAATCGGAAAATAACATAAATTCATAAAAGTACTAAGATATAAGAAAACGGGCACAAAAGGACTAAAATAAAACAGATATAAGAATAGGAATTAAATATATAGTTTCTAAAACTACAATAACCAACTAATCAGTTTGGTTAAATTATAGGACTGAGTTGCAATTAACACAACTCCTTTATGCATTGATGTTAAACTTGACCCGGCCAGTTGGGTCCACCTATAAAAAAAATAATTTAGAATTGACCCGATTATTTTGGCGAATTAACTTACTACCTGATAAAAAGCTGGACTGGCCTCTTTTTTTAACTAACGGGTGGTTAACCACCTGGTTTGTGACCCGAGACTCACACCAACTCTACCCGAGTCGGGCATAATAGCCACGCCTTTAATTACCAGAATTGAAGGGTTCAGGCTTTAAAGCAGGGAGCCTAAGTTATAATTAACACTCAAAAGCAGCAGCGGCGGGCAGCCATTCTCCACGTTTGACGTCTCTCTTACATTACATAGAACCTGATTCTGTCAAAAAGCTAGGCATCAAGTTAAAGCACTTTGCAAACAGGTGTACTTCTGTCTGAACTGGGTTGCATTGTTTTTTGCCTGTCATAAATCCATGGAGGAGAATTTGCTATCATCAGTACGTTCCACAGTGTTTAAAGAATCAGAAGCTCTTGATGGGAAATGCATTAAGATTGAAGGTTATGATTTTAATCAAGGAGTGAACTACTCTAAGCTTCTCAAATCCATGGTCTCTACGGGGTTTCAAGCTTCCAACCTTGGAGATGCCATTCAAGTTGTTAATAACATGGTTAGTAAGTTAATCTCGTTTGTTTAAAACCCTAGACTTCATTTTCTTTTGGGCTCTTTTGTTTTGGTGTTTTTTGATGATTCTATGTCTTTTTGTGTTTGATTTTGATACCTAATTAGTTGATTTAATGAGTTTTTTTTTTTTGGAATGAAGCTAGACTGGAGGCTTGCTGATGAAGAGATAACAGAAGATTGTAGTGATGAGGAGAGGGAGTTGGCCTATAGAGAGTCTGTGAGATGCAAACTGTTCTTGGGTTTTACATCAAATCTTGTTTCTTCAGGTGTTAGAGATACAATTCGATATCTTGTTCAGCATCATATGGTGAGTTAATTTCATGGTTTGATATTGATTAATATATTCGTTGTCTTGTGTTTGATGGAATGGCTTTAAGATGTTTATGTGGAAACTGTGCCAACATAAATACAAAGCAGAATCAAATGGTTATTGACAATTTTGGGTTGGCATTGAAATTTCCCCTTTAATTGGATATGCTGGATGCCCTGTAACAAAAAATATTGCCTATTCTTGTTGGTGGTATGTCAAATCTTTAAACTTTAGAGCTGTTCGCTTCAGATGTTTGCATTATTCTAACTATTTGGGCTTGTTTTATGAGAAAGTATATATAGAGGTCAGGTACTTGTGAAACCTATGATCATCTTAATGTCATTTATAAAAAATTTAAGGTTTCTGAATCAATGTGTTGCATCAATTCGCTGTTGTTTGGCTGTAACCTGTAAATAATTTTAAGCTGTCCGCCCTCTTGATTGTATTCTTGCCTTTCATCTCAAATTGGTTTATGCATGCCTTATTTGTAAGATGACTGCAGGTTGATGTAGTGGTTACAACGGCAGGTGGCATAGAAGAAGATCTTATAAAATGCCTGGCACCAACATACAAAGGTGACTTTTCTCTACCCGGGGCTCAATTACGATCAAAAGGGTTGAATCGAATTGGTAACTTGTTGGTACCTAATGACAACTACTGCAAATTTGAGGATTGGATCATTCCAATCTTTGACCAAATGTTGAAGGAACAAATTGAAGAGGTATTTCTCTCATAGTCACAACTCACAACAAGTATGTTTCTGTGCCTGAGTTTGAGGAATGTTCGCTGAGTTTTTGTTTCCCCCTTTCCCCATCCATTATTTTCTCTGACAAACATGCTGTCAAAAGTGGTACTTTTAGATATTTTAACTGATCTGACATGCTGACATGACAACAATAAAAGCCACATCTGCACAATATTAGCAGATATCTAAATCTGAACTGATTTGGTTGGTTTTAAAGAGTTGAGACACAAAACTTAGAAAAAAGTCAAGTGGCAGTACTTGATTCATCAATTGCATTTTTTCCCTCCTGGTAAAGTTGATCGCTAAAATCTAAATATACTAACTTAGGATTTACTCATTTGATTTACTTTAGAAGATAGTTCCATCATCCTTATCACATCTTCTTTTGGGCATTGCAGAATTTCACCTGGACACCTTCTAAATTAATAGCTCGCTTGGGGAAAGAAATAAATAATGAGAGTTCATACCTTTATTGGGCATATAAGGTAACTGATTTATCCGCTCTCAGCTGACATGGTTCATTTATATGAGAATTATTTTCATGAGATTTATTCAAACTATTATCACCTATTTGGTTTTTTCATCTGCTATTCATGTTTTTTCATTCTATTTCTACAATGATTGTGTTACTTGTATTTGTTACATGTGCCACATTGATGACAAACATATGGCTGCTGCGGATGTAGTTCTAGTTTTCACATAGTAGATGGCACATTGTTATGTGTCCCCCTATTTGTAATGACAGTGAAATTTGTGGTTCTCTTGTGAATCTTAGTTAAATAACAATAAAATATCACAACTCTTAGGTTTTGATCTGTCAATCAAACCAATTACTCCTTTGCAACGTGGGATGAGGTGATAAAAACATGACAATTACACTATATATTAAGGAACACTGGAAAATCTGATATGTTATTCTTTTCGATGTTATTAATTCTATGAGAACAATGGCATTAACATTTTTGTGAGTTGATGTTGTGTTTTATGTTTTTCAGAACTACATTCCAGTATTCTGTCCAGGCTTAACCGATGGTTCTCTAGGGGACATGCTATACTTTCATTCCTTCCGCAGCCCTGGTCTAATTGTTGACATAGTTCAAGGTTCCTGTTTGCTTCTGCAATGTGATTTTTTTCATGATAAATATAATTTGAAGATACAAACCCTATAATGATACTTTTTGAACAGATATTAGAGCCATGAATGGTGAAGCTGAGAAGCAATGTTATTTTTTTCATGATAAATATAATTTGAGATACAAACCCTATAATGATACTTTTTGAACAGATATTAGAGCCATGAATGGTGAAGCTGTCCACGCAAGTCCTAGAAAAACTGGTATCATCATTCTTGGAGGTGGGCTTCCTAAGCATCATATATGCAACGCCAATATGATGCGTAACGGTGCAGATTATGCTGTATTCATCAATACAGCACAAGAATTTGATGGGAGTGATTCTGGAGCTCATCCTGATGAGGCTGTCTCGTGGGGGAAAATACGAGGTTCTGCTAAAACTGTTAAGGTATGGATTACTATCTCTTCATCCCTCCTTTGCTTGTGCCCTTTCAGGTGTTGTTATCAATGCCACTTGCAGATCTCACAATTAGCTACGAGCATCATACTTCTGTGCTTTATTTCCTTTCGTGTATGAGTTGTGAGATTCCATTGCAGTTTCCTCTTCTAATGATATTCTGTTTTCAGTGCAATAATAATTCTTCTTCCGTCTTGTTGGATTTAACCAGGTCCACTGTGATGCAACTATTGCTTTTCCTCTCCTAGTTGCTGAAACATTTGCCCCTAGGAGGAACAGATTCTGCAGCGGTACTCAAAGCTAGGGCTGTGTGCAATTCTTGGCCAGAAAATTGATTCATTTTTATTTGTATTATGACTGAACGATCCTCATGATGGGTAGTGGGCTCCATTGATGCCAGACTTTTTTTTTTTCCTCAGAATTAAGGGACCCGACAGAAGACACTGCTCTCAACCTCAGACAATTGTTGCCTCTACTGGGAGTAGCATAACCAATTGAATTGCGCTACTCCTGGCAGCGAGTCTTAGTTGCGTCATTTATTCTAAGTAGCGCAACCAACTAAATTATGCTAGTTCCCAAATTTATTGACTGATATTTTCTAAAGAAAAACTCCTATATGCTGTTGGAACCATATCTTTAGAAAATGTACTAGATATAGAAAGATTAATCATGCCGGTTGGTTACTCAGTACTCTGTCATCGCTTGTGTTCACCGAGAGATGAGTAACATGGTCAAAGTGAGAAGACGATGCTCGGAACATTCAGAGTCAGGCTTAGGAAAAGAGAACTAGGTATCGGTCACGGTAAACCTGGCACAAAGCTCAACAAATTGAGAGAACCTCCACCATCCCCTGACCTTCCCAGATTACCCAGCGAGCTTCCATCAGTATTAACTCCGACGATTCCATAAGCAGGACAACTCCATGACACCAGCTGGGACTGCTTGTTTTCTAAAGGAGACTCGCAATCCCCGAAGGCCACATTACTGTTAGCAACTATCTGTCGTATGCTCCATAATTAAGATTGCTAATTAACAACCTTCCCTTCAATGGTAAACTTAGCCAAATTTCCGAGCAAGAAAATAGAAAACAACGCATGCTGTCCCGTTCTGCTTGTTGAAACATACTTTCATTAACCAATCATTCCATTCCACCCTTTAACAAAGAAGCTAGGCGTGATCGACCCGCCAGGATATTGAAGCCAAATGTCCTTAGCCCACATGAAATCACGAAGACCACGAACAGCTTTAGCAAATAGCATCTTAACTTAACCATCTAGGTGGTGGTCAAGTGGTAAGAACTTGGGATCAAGGGGTTTGCTCCCTCTGTGGTCTCAGATTCGAGTCCTTGGTTGCTCATATGATGGCCACTGGAGGCTTACATAGTCGTTAACTTCAGGGCCCGTGGGATTAGTCGTGGTGCGCGCAAGCTGGCCCGAATCTAAAAAAAAAAAAATAGCATCTTAACAAATGGTAATGAAGTTGATGGTTGCTATTAGAACAAATAGTGAAATGTGGTCGGTTTCATTGTTTTGCTCGTTCTTCATTGCCAGGCAAAGAGAGATTTGTCCAAGCTCCATCCATGCGACGCTAGAACTCTATTTTGAAAATGCATTTTTCATAACTTTACCTCAATATGCTTTTAGTTGGGACGAATTAAGTGAAATTATGTTGCAATCTTTTCTCTAATGTTTAAGCAAAGAACATTTGAAGAGCTTCCATACCTGTTAAAAAGAAATACCAAGAGAGGCATAAAATGATTTATCACGAAAAGGACGAGAGAAAAATGAAAACTTCTACCAAGAACAGGAAAAAAAAAAAAAACCTCTATTTGAAGTCATGCTTCCCTCAGGGATCAAGATCCTCAGCAAATAAAGCATGTATTCAAAGCAAGGTTACAAGTGATCAAACTTCTCTCGGCAAGAATCAAATCCAAGCATGATCAAGCATCCAAATTAAGCGGTGATCAAGCATTCCAGCATGTGAAAAAACTTTAGCATAAAGACATTTGGAATAAATTTAAAGCAAGGGCCCATGGAAATCTTTTATGTAAATAGTAATATTACATAAATATGGTATTAGAAAGTGAGAAGAGAGGCTAGTCTTCCTCAGCATTTGAGTGTAAAAGAGAAAGCATTGTGACATTTGACTGATTCTGTGGACCAATATCACCTTCAAAAAAATATTCAAAGCCTTGTTTGCAAATTTTAGAGGATTTGAAGGTCTTTCCCTCCTTTATTTTTCATTAAAACCAAACTGAGTTCAAGTTTAAGAATAATTAAGATCCGGAATAATTTCTTAATTATGACTTGAAAAGAAAAAAAAGTTAATTAGACGAATAAATTGTTTTGAAAGTGGAGATGTGGAAAACGTGTGCCCACATCCATATTTTTATTGTATATTTTATTTTCATCTCAATATCATAATTTAATCCCAGCCAAAAAAAAGAAAATTGAATTTTGAGTCCCGAGAGGAAATTGCTTCTTGACCCGCAAGACTTGTTAAAATCCATGTTTAACACTAGCACCCCATTCATACCTTTACTCGGTAGACTCCTCGGCAGTATCCCATTCAAACATCCACCTAGTAGACTACCAATCACTATCCATTTCTTTTAGGTCCATCCATGTTGCGACCCACCTGTTAAAATTTTTAAATATAATTATTTTTATTATAATTACAAGTATTTATATCAAAAATATTATTATTTGTGTTATGAATAATAATATTTTTATTATAATTAAAATTATTAATATTAAAAATAGTAGTATTTGTTTTATAAATATCATTGTTTTTATTATAATTAATATTATTAATAGAAAAATTAAAAAAAATATTATCAATATTAAAAAACAATTATAAATTTGATTAGAAGGATAAAATAACAAATTATTTTCATCGTCATTACAATCATCATCATTAATAAATTTTTTAAAAATATTATTGTTATTGAAGAAAAACCATACATTTGATTCGAATATAAAAACTTGAGTCAAGATATTATTGTTATTGAAGAAAAACCATACAGAATATAAAAACTTGAGTCAAAAGAGTTTAATATTATTTTTAATATTATAAATATTATTATATTCATTAATTTTATTAAATTTAAAATAAATATTATTACTATAAAAAAACATAAAATTGATTTGAATGGTGAAATCAATTATTATTATTATTATTATTATTATTATTAACTCGGGTCAGATATCCCCTTGGAGATTCAAGAAACTTAAGGCTGGAAAGGGCACCTTGTCTATGTTGCTTGGGTGTCATAGAAGCGCAAACCCAAATCAATTAGGTATTACAGGACTATGGGTCCTTAATCGGAACCCAGGGTCCTAACACCACTATCCAAAATTAATGGGTCTATGTTAGAATTCCATTTTTTTAGGTCTTGTTTTAGGACCCAGGTTGCTTGGGTGCGGCGTCCGAACTCAATTTTCTCGTGTGCGGTGTCAGGACCCAATATAGTTGGGTCAACCGTCTAATAGGTCCTGAAGTCAGGACCCAAAGCAAATGGGTCATTAACATAACCCAATTCTCTTAGGTTTACACCAAGACCTAAAGTTCTTGGGTTTCTAAATATAATTATATATATTATAAATATTATTATAATTAATATTATTAATAAAATAATTCATAAATTTTAAAAAATTATTATCAATATTGAAAAATAATCATAGATTTGATTTGAAGGGTAAAATAAAATTAAAAAATAAAAATTATTATTACAATTATTATCATTAATAAATTTAGAAAACTATTATTATTATCGAAGAGAAACCATAATTTTTTTTAAGATTAAAAAAATATAAAAATTTGAACAGACAAGTTAAATATTATTATAAATATTATTTTTGAATCTGATATAACAATCAAACCCAACATTTTTAAATTTTAAATTTTTATAATATTTTTTATAAAAATAAAAATACACCTATAGTATATTGCGCATCTAAGAGTTATGTTGGAAGTGTAGTTGTGGTTATTTTTCAAAGTGTTTTTCATGTCTAAATACATCAAAATAATATTTTTTTTATTTTTTAAAAAAATATTTTTAAGATAAATACATTAAAACGATTTAAATATATAAAAAATTAATTTTATCAAAAAAAAATTAAAATTTCTAAAAATACAGATTAAGTGACATTTCCAAACACTCACGTGGTCATCATCACAAGACAGGTGGACCTGCATGTTCTGTGTGTAAGATAGCGGTGAGTCAAAAAAAAAAAAAAAAATAAGGGT